AACTACTTATCGCACGCAATTTTGCTAAAGGAAAAAGTTTTGTTTTTTTTAGCCTAATGTATCACGCCTTGCATTCCGTGGGTGCAAATTTAGGGAAACTCTGAATAATATATTTTAATATGTTACATGTTATAATATATTGTATTATGTTACAATAAAATTAAGAGGTTAAAATAGGTTAAAATAGGTTAAAATAAGTTAAAATAGGTTAAAATAGGTTAAAATAGTTTAAATTAGGTTAAACTAGGTTTAAAATAGGTTAAAATAGATTAAATTAGGTTAAAAGAGTTTAAAAATGTTAAACTAGGTTAAAATAGGTTAAACTAGGTTAAAATAGGTTCCTCCTCGTTGTGCGCCACCTTGTCGTGGTGAGGGGGCTCACCGTGGGAATACCTGAAAAGGTGTTTCTGCGGTGCTAAGAGCGCACAGTTTCTTCTTAGGAGGGAACGGGGGTCCGGCTACCCCTCAAGGGACTTGTCCCGATTAGCCGGAAGGGGTTGGCGGCCCTGACTTCAATCGCCCGGGTGCCTGGACTCGATAGGTGTGTTTATTTAAAACACACCCCCAGGATAGAGGAGCATTACCTCGAGAAAAAGCCGGGGCCTGACCAGCCTCGTTAGCACGCCGGTGCTCCGGCATAACGGTCGAGCCCCCATTGCACGAGGGGGGCGTAAGCGTCACATACCGTAACCCCAGTTTGTGGGGCCGGGGGCCGGTGATAGTGTGGTGGCACTATCACGGGCTGCGAGGGTGGTAAAACCTCTATAAAAAGACCCGGGTAGACCGAGCTCGTAAGCCTAGGGTGGGCCATCGGTCTAGGAGAGGAAAAACTCCGATATAAAATCCGGTGAAGGACACACCGTCAACAAACCAATTTTCTTTATATGGACATGGGCAAAGAAAAAGGACATAGTGTACCGTCTCAGGGGAGTCGGACCCCCAGGGACCGGCGTGGTGGGAGTCCTGTCCCGGCTCCTGTCATGTCGTCATCTAGCGACGGGCTGACCATTGAGTGTTCACCGAGCTCAGTGGTCAATAGAGCTATCGGATCAGTGTGTGCCCTGTATAGTCAGAGTGAGAGACTGTTTTCGGAACGTTCTATGGTGTTCGCGAAAGACCTGTGCGGGATTTACTGCTTCATAGCAGGAAGACTGGGTTGTGGAGTAAAGAGATGTAGGTGTGATATAGACATGTCATGGGAATTTTATAAAACTATGGGTCCTGGTGGAAGGAGCACATTCCAAATACCAACGAGAAAGGAAATGGCGGATTCTGTCCTTGGGTTGTGGTCTCGCTATGACCGTCGTATGAAGGATGTAGTTCCTGAAAAATGGAAGAGAAAGAAATTAAGGCATACTTACCGACATGCGTGTGTTGTCCTGTTGGCTGCTACTGAACTGCTGGGCTCCGACCTGAAACAGAAAGAAGAGGTTAATAGGGCAATGGAATTTCTACGGAAATCGGGTAGACCGTACGAATACGGACAGCTGGGATATAAATCCCCGGAGAAGGCGGATAATACCCCTCTCCGACTTAGAGGTGGGATTGGTCCCCCTGTCTTCAGGAAGGGGCAAAGGAAGAGCAGACTTCTGGAGGAAATGCATAGGGATCCGGATTCTTCGGACTCAGACCATGGTCCTGTGGTAACATCCCAGGAGCTACTGGCCCCTGGCACCATTACGGTGGAGAGGGGACCAGGTCCGATAGAAGAAAAGAAGAAGGAAGAGGGGAAGAAACCCGCTACCGAGGTGGTGGAGATGACCATCTCCTCCGATGAAGAGGACACCGTCCCACCCCCTGGTCTGGGTCCTTTGTATTCGGACTTGGAGGGGGAGTCGGATTTGGGATCTGGAGAGAACTTCCCCTCCTCCAGGCCCTATACGGGCCCTGAAGAGGAGGATGTACCTCCCCGGGAGAAGTGGCGCCTACCTGCGCTTCATAGAGCACAGGGAAGGCCCAGAAAGGATGGGACGGGTCCTTTTAAGGCCCTGTCCACGTCTGGATCGGAAAGAGGAAAGGATAATATTCGAAGGAAGAAAGGGAAGAAATTCCCCTATAGGGAAGAGGACATGGAGACTGCGGGGACGTCGGCCTTAATGGTGCGCCCACCGCCTCTCACTGGGGACCAGCGTGCAACTGCTGAACATCGCCTCCAACAGATGGAGCGTGGTTCGGCAAGGGAAATCGTGGTCCACTCCGACAGTTGCCTGGATGAGATCGAGCATGCGAGATCGGTCACTTCAAACATGAAGGGTTCCCTTAGTGGGAAGATTAAATTAAATGTATACCTCCTTAGAGAGGTTTTGAGGACTCTGGCTACCAGAGCTGATAAGGTAGGGGACCCGGGATACTGGAAATCCCGGGTTATCACGGTTGAAAAGGACAATACGGCCTATAAGGCCCAGAATGAAAATCTCATAAGGAAATTGGCCAAAGCGGAAAACGTCATCCGCTTTATGAAGGCAAAGGCCTCCAATCCGGAGGGCCCGTTGATTAGGGACCCCATGTCCCCCACACTAGGTAGGGAACCGTTGGGGCGATCGGAATTGGGGAGCGCCACTGCTGCTGCATCTACCGGTCTGACCGACCCCAATATTGATACGGATCTGG